AAGCCCGAAATTATCAATCGGCACTTAAAAAGCCGAAAGAAATTAGGGTTAAAAATGAATTTAGACGGAAAAATGGACTGGAACTGACCGTGTCACGGTACAGCCTGACCGTGTCACGGGAACCATTCCCGTCTGACGGTGGGACTTCCCGTGACACGGGAGATCTGCCGTGACACGGGAAGTTCCGTGTCCTTTCCGCGTAAACCCTTAACGCGTTTTCCGTCCCATTTTCTGAAAATTTCCCGCGTCACTCCAAAACTGACCGTGTCACGGGAACTTGTACCGTCTGACGGTACAGTCTAACCGTGTCACGGTACAGTCTGACCGTGTCACGGGATACTTTTTTAGGGTTTTTATCATTTTAGGGTTCCGTGTGCTCCCTCAGCACATTTCCCTATAAATACCCCCTCATTTTTGATGTACGGGGCAACTTGAATTTTATTATTCTTATTTTCTCTCCTCTATGCTATTAACCTAAACACTAGCCTACCCTTTTCACCTTAAAATTCCTTCTTCAAGCACTCAAAGGAGTCCATATTTTACTCGAGGTTCTGTCCTTAAGCCAAGGCGTGAAAGGTAGAATCGTTTGAGGGTTTGGCCCCAAAATCAACTTTAGTTTTATTTAATTTAATTTAGTAATTGATTTATTATTTCCTTGAAGTTACTAACTCGTTTATTATTTTGTAGTTGCAAACAAACAGATTCAAAGTAAGGATCGTGCTCTTTTATTATTATTATTATTATTATTCTAACAATTTTACGTTGTTGGAATTGTGATTAATTGGTTTTAATATTAATGTTTATTCTATTATTTATTGATCACCATATTGCATGTTAAAGGGAATGTGTAATTGAAAATCACGACTAATAAGATAATTTGGACGACCGGTTTAGGATCCTTTTAATCTTATTATTAATTGAAGTGATCACCAAATTTTTTAGAATTATGTGTGCATTAATCTTAAACCAATTTAGCTAAATAATAGTTTGGAGCGAATTGAATTATTGTTTGTATGCCTTTGAGATCACAGGAGTGCTTTTCAATATAAGAATCGAGTAGAGGCCAATACGGGCGAATGTGACTCCATGACTCACTTCGTACCATCATCCCCGATCCTCCTTTCGTGGTTCCGAACCATATGGAGTTAGTAATCTCATGGATTATGAATGGGGTGTAACCTTCACGGGTCAATCGTTGTTGCCTTCGTTGTCCCTTTATCGTGGTTGCCTTTTATGATCCGTGAACGGTTTACAAGTTCCTTAAAAACTTGTTGGCGGCTCCCTACTTTCCTTGTCCCTAATCGTATTATGTCAATTCCCACTTCCTATGAGTGACAAGCATATTCACCACATGCTTTAACGTAGGCGCACATCGAACGATGCCTACACAATCCTAATTCCTTTAGGATTTAAAAGAACCTTCTGGACAATTCTAGAAGACTATATTCAATCCTAATAGCTTTAGGAATGATAATTAATAATAGGCCTTCTTCTAAATCATTGGGCCGCATATAAGAACCAAACCGGGCCCTGTTTAGTATTTTGGCCATAACTTCCTCTTATTCATCGGAATTGGGCTTATAATATATCGTTGGAAAGCTCTTTTCGAGCCACATCCAACTACACCATTATTGGACCCTTGTCATGGACCAAACTGAACTATACTGTCTATTTTCATAAAATAGAGTGGGTTTTCGAAAACAGAAAGAAAGATTTTTTTTTTATAAAAACTAACCGCAACACTAGACTTTTCACACTTTTGCTTCATTCGATTATGATTCGACGCAAAAGGTATTCATCACTGTGTTTGATTTTGGGGAGACACAAATGGGTGTCTACACATTACCATTAAGTTCGGTATTTTTAAGTGTCGTTTCATAATTCCGGGCTTATTTAGGTTTATTATTAATTAATCAGGCTCAATTAATTAATAATATGAAATGAATTAAAGAGAGTCCGGGCAAAAATATGAATTGGACTATGTTTTGACTAAACATTGATCTAATCCTTTGACTGTTTGTGAACTGGGGTTTATTGAACATGGACTTTAAGCACTCATGGGATTAAATACTCGACCCGTCCAAGAATAGCATGAGTTCATCATCGGGTTTGATTTCGGGGAGACATTTTTAGGTGTCTACAATTATGAATTATTGATTTATGGTTTATAGACTAACATTTCTATGTTTATTTATTTTTAAGTTGGTTTTTTAAAAGAGTTATGTTTGGTTTGGTTCCAACTTGTGAACTATTTAATTTTACTTTTGTTTTGAGGTTGTGAATTCAAGTTTTATTTTAAAAGTTGGTTTTTATTTCAATCTTCCATTATGTCATTTTGAACAATAATTTTAGCCTTATCACGGTAGTGGTAATATTTTGGTTGATTGTGTCCTAAAAAGGGTTATATTTAAGTAAAAAGAGTATTCTAAAAGGGGGAAAGTTTCAGAGTATTACACATTATATACTACAAGTATTTTATACTTCCTTCATTTTTTAATAGTTGCAACACACACTTTTTTACGGTATTTAAGGTATATTTGGTTCACATGATATAATATAATATACTTTAAAATGGGATAAGTGGTTGTTAGGAATGTAATCTATTCAGTCATGTGCTTTAAATAAAGGAATTAATATAGCTTTTTTCCAAAATAACTTTCCATTTATGGTGTGTTGCAAATATTATAACATTTCCATTTTAAAAAAGTATTGCAAGTATTAAAAACAGAGGAAGTAGTTCATCAATACCCTGTGTAGTATTGCACATGTTTAAATTTAGTATTGGTTATCGTATGTGTTTGACATGATGATACCTCATTATTATTTGCTAAGTGAATAGACAATCAAATGAGTAGATGCGTTGGCCAATCAATAATGCACCATTATTCATTCAATGATTTCTAAAAACAACTTTGGGAATTTTGGTCTCGCCGTTGGCGTTGGCGTTGGTGTTGGTGTTGGTGTTGTGGGGGCTCCCAAACTGCAAGTCAGCCAACATTGATGCATAGAATCATAGATGGACTAGTTTTGTATTGATGTACACTATACTTTCATTACCTTAATAATAATAATAATAATATTTTTGTGGGTTGAAAAACCTCATAAAGTAGCATTATATGTAGAGGATGACCTTCCACCGGGGCCATTTGGGGCCCGGCCCCTGGTAAACTATTGTAATTACTTAGTTAATAAACTTAAATAACCTTGTATTACTTATAAAATATTGGAACATAGTGACTAGTTTAAAGCGAGAGGCAAAAGATTCAAATCTCGGCCCCTATAATATTTTTGGTCAAGATCCGCCACTGATTTTATATGGAATATATTCAAATATTCATCATTATACAAGTTAGTCTAAGTTATATTATGAATTATCATTTGTACAAAAATGCATATTTGCACGAAATTTATTCAAAAACTAACACACTTTATTTTGATCTTAAATGGAGCTTATATTTCATTTTTCACTACAAGAAAATTGTCTTTTTGTAATGATTATTTCGTAGGGATTGTACGTTCTCTACAGTATGCACATATATTTGTGAAATAGTAGTGGAAGAGGAAATCCACTGCAAAATTCACCGCCAAGAAATCGATTTGGTTCTGGTACAAGTTTAAGTATGGGTGTGGGTTGGGGTTTCGGCGGTTTGGCGACGGTTTTGAGTAGGGAAGAGGAGTTCGACGACGGTGGTGGTTTTGATGTTGTTGTTTCGGCTGGTTTAGGTTAGGGTAATGGTGGTTCGGCGATAGTGTAGGCTGGGGTTTTGGTTGGTTTAGGTTGGGGTTACGGTGGTTCGACGAAGGTGTGGGTTGGGGTTTCGACTGGTTTAGGTTGGGGGGTGGTTCTGCGATGGTTTGTAAGCTTCAGCGTTGATTTCGGCGGTTCACGGGCTGTGTATGGCTGACAGCAATGGGACAGACACCGGTGGTGGCTGGATTAGCATTTTAGGGTTTTCCTTTTTTTCTCTTTTTTTTGTTTTTTTTTTTAATTTTTTTAAATCCAATATATGATTGACACGTGTACAGTGTGGGATCCACTTAACGGTTTTTTTGGACGGGGAAGTTCAGTTGTGGTGAAACCAAATTTTTGGGTTTTTTAGTAGTGTTATAATAAAAGTTTTTTTTTTTAATTTTTTTGTGGTGTTATAATCAAAATCATGACTTTTTTTGTGGTGTTATTTTCTAAAATTTTCTTTTTAAAAATACATACAGTAGCTAAAATAAGAGGGTTTTTTTTTTTGAAGGAACTAAATAAGAGTAATTTGCAAATGTGTGATTGAAAATTGTGAAAAAAGTAGACAACAAACAAGAAATAATGAAATAATCTAGTGATGAGTATGCTACTTTTACAATTAGAGACAATCAAATGAATACAATTTCAAGTAAACTATAAAATTGAATGACCATCATCTTTACCATAAAATCAAGCTAAGCTTAATATATTCAGAAAGATTAAACCTTCCAATTTTAAGATTAAAGATTCAATCCCCATTAGAGATACTTTGAGGGTAGGGATTCCTTATCCTTTCCCCCTCACTCTCAAAGTGTTTAACACACAAATACTTGACCAAAAACCGTTAGAATTGAGGATTGAATTACAGTCAAGGTCCTTCTCGTTACCTTTAAAAAAAAAAAACATTTTCGCCCTAAATGATAAAGCTAGTCTTACCATACAATCAATTGTCAAGTTTAATTATACGCAAATGAGCAAATCAGTTTTCCCCTTATTACACATTACTTGAAGATTTCTTTTTTTTGCAAACAAGTAAAATTTAGCAAAACGAGCATAACATGTTACCACTCATTTTCTTCAAGTAGTCAAATACGATAACATATACTCCGTACTTCATACTCCGTAAAATAAGGTACAACCAATTGTATAATACGAAGTATAAAAAATAAAAAATTAAAAAAAAAAAAAAAAAAAAAAAAAAAAGTGTTCGTCAAATACAAGTATGCGGCATCTAATCAATCACTTGTTGTGAACATACCATAAAGGTCAAAAGTGGGGGACTTGAACCTGAGAGGTGGTAGTTAGTGGTCAGATTAATAAACCAGACCAAATCCATTCCAAAATCATTCAACTCAATTCATTTCTCTCTTAATTTTTTTTTCCCAAGAAAATTCTAAAATTTGCTGTTGCATAATCTTCTTTTTTCTTTACTTTTGCTGCTAAATTCTTCCTCAACCTACGCGTTTCTCTTTCTTCCTACCCGCAACTTTCGCTCACTCGCTTTCTTTCTTTCTTACCCTTCCTACTTTTTGCTAGCTCAAGCACACCCCTCAAAACCCTGTTAATTTCTTCATTAAATTCCCCCATTATAATTGATTTTCTTAGATCAATCTACTGTTAACCACTTGATTCTTCATCAATTTTTCTGGGTATGTTTTATTTTTGAATTTTTATTACTTTTTTCACTTTAATTTTGAGCTCTACTGTTACTGATCTGAAGTAGTTTTTATCTTAATTATGTAATTTTGCATTAATTTGATGTGTGGAGTTACTTGGGTTTGATAATTTAAGCTTGATTTTGTGTTTGTTTGATTAATTGTGGAAGTAATTGCTAATTGATTTGTTGAGCAAGTTCTTGAATTTCTTTTCTATTTGCATTTTTTTTTTTCTGGGTATTTGTGATCAATTTGTAATTGTATATCTACGATCTAATATGGATATTGGGTTTTAATTTTGATTCTAGGTGTATTTTGTAGATCACTATAATTCATGGTCTAACTTATGCTACACCCTTTTTTCGTTGGAAATTTAATTTATTAGCGAATCTGATATATGCAGCTGTAAGTTAACTATAAGCATGGTTAAAAATCACGCGTTGATCGGTGTTATTATTATTCATTTATTCATCTATTCGATTAAAGTTTAATGTGTCTACTTTTAGCTTATTATACTTCAGTTCATAATTATCATCTTGTTTGTCGAAAATGCTTTTTGATGAATATAATCTAACCTGTGATAGTAGAAGCTAGGATTCTGTTTCTAATTTGTTATGTTGAATGTACCTTTTTTTTATCATTTAATTTTCGGTTTTTACAGCCTTGCTTACTGATTTCTGGTTGGAATTGTTTATGCATAAATGCAGTTAGTGAAATCCATCGTGTACTTAGTATACGGCATCTTGAGGAGTAAAACATGAGCTGTTTCGGCTGCTGTGGAGATGATGATTATCAGAGAGGAGGTGATAATGGGGCATACATGACAAATAATCCAGCTGGTAAGGGTTTGTTGAATATCTATGTACATTGAGTCGCCCCATTTATATGCAGATTGTTATTAATAAAAATAGAATCATCATTGTCGTATCGAACAAATGAATACTATATATAATTTCGTGTTTATTGATCATATGTTTGTTATGATTTCTTGAATTTTCTATGTAAATAATATAAAGGATACAAATGTAAGTTAGCCGTCATTCATGACTCTGTACAATCTGCCTTTAGGTTGAAAGTATTAGGTTGACTGAAAAGGCTATGATTTTCAGGCAATCATGCCCCATATCCAGCAAGAGAAGACAAGCCAAAGGATACACAAACCGTAAATTTTCAGCCTCCTGCGGTTTCTCCAATTACCGTAGATGAATTGAAAGAAGTTACAGATAATTTTGGAACGAAAGCTTTGATTGGTGAGGGATCTTATGGAAGAGTGTATTTTGGTACTCTAAGAAGTGGACAAGCTGCTGCCTTGAAAAAATTAGATTCCTGTAAACAACCTGACCAAGAATTTTTAGGACAGGTAAATGCCCTCAGCGACTAGCATTGTTAATTCCTTGACAATTTTGGTGTTCTATCTAGCTAATTAACATCCTGATACACGCCTTACAGGTGTCTATGGTTTCAAGACTTAAACATGAAAATGTGCTTGAGCTTGTTGGCTATTGTCTTGATGGCAACTTTCGGGTCCTTGCATATGAGTACGCTGCAAATGGTTCCCTACATGATATTCTTCATGGTAAGTTGTAGTCAATTGCTTTATTCTCTATAATTCCAATTCTGATATCACCTATCAAACAGCCTCCGAGCTTTGTCCTATTATTCTATCTACTGCATCAATTAACATATTAGGAAAAAGACAACTCACTATGTAATTGATTTATTGAGCTTCTAAGTTGCTTAGTACAGGATAAATTTTAGTGCTGCAGATTATGCTTTGATGTTTGGAACTATAGATGCTGTCTCATAAACTTCCTCTTTACTATTTCTCACTGTGAAGCAACAGTTTAGAGCAGCTCAGATTATGCATGCTACGTTGCTACCATAGTAACTACACTAACTAGAAGTAATACTAACGAAGATTACTGAACATTCTGTAAATTAAAAAAAAAAAAAAAAAATTTAGGCAGAATTGCTTGTTACTTTATTAGTAGTAGAGTCATGTGCTTTGTCTATTTCGTCTATAATCAGTCTTATAGTAGGCTTCTTTATTACCCAGGAGCCTTCTAACCTTACAAAGACATGAGTGGTATTTGAGATGCCCTAATTATTGATTTTGTGAATTTTTTAAAAATTAAATTTGACATTGTTGGTAAAACAGAATTATATTATAGTAGACAGTGATCCTACTTTCTAGCGTAGGAGTCCTTGTGATGCCGGAAATTTCCTTGTCTGCATCTTAAAAATCATATTTAATAATATGTTGTTCAGGATCATGCAATTGTTGCAATTGTTATAAATTAATCAGGTCCACCTTTTGACTTCAATTGCTTATTACTCCGTTAGACCGAAACTGACATGAAGAAAGGGCAATATGGAAGTTGATTCTTTTTTATTATTTCTTTTACATGTTAAATTATACAGTTATACTTATTGACTGTCATGAAAGAGAGGGCGGTTGGGAAATCGGAAGTCCACCTGTACTATTTTTTCTTTGTAATGCCTTACCCCTCGAGAAAAAAAATAAATAAATAAATAAACGAAAACAATAAATAGTAATATAAATAATAAAAAGGCCTTGGTTTCTGACTTTTCAGCTGATATGTTTGTGGAATTCCTGTGTAGCCATGATGTTCCGTTGCTCGTATCTTTGTAATGTTCACTAATTAATGGAATGTTGTTTTTGTATATAGGAAGGAAAGGTGTCAAAGGAGCACAACCCGGTCCTGTCCTCTCATGGGCACAAAGAGTTAAAATTGCTGTTGGGGCAGCCAAAGGCCTTGAGTATTTGCATGAGAAAGCTCAGCCCCATATTATACATCGAGATATTAAGTCCAGCAATGTACTTTTATTCGACGATGATGTTGCAAAAATTGCTGATTTCGATTTATCAAATCAAGCTCCCGATATGGCAGCACGTTTACATTCCACGCGTGTTCTCGGAACTTTTGGATACCATGCTCCAGAGTAAGTCTCATTGTGTTTCAATATTCATAATTCTGTCTTGCCTGTTGTCAACAGTAGTAATTAAAAGTAATCCGTTAAGCAAAGTTCTGTAAGCTGTTGATAGAAGTAGCCAGGCTGTCGTGTATATAATTGTGATCTTTCTATCAGATGTTAGATTCGACTACTATTGTCGAATTTAAGGTTGTTACCATGCCAGTGTCAAATTTGGAACATAGGTTTATCTGGGGATGTTGATTTGCAGTCCTCTTTTGGACTTCAATTACCATGTTCTTTATAATCCTATATGACTTTCTTACATTCAAAGTAACAAATTTTTTTTGTCTTGCTATTAAAATCATTCACTCGTGTCAAAGCAAGGTACTTCTCTCTATTTTGTTATATTATTCCCGTGTTATCGTGCCTTGAAGTAACAGTATTTTCTTTCTCTCTTATTAGATATGCTATGACGGGACAATTAAGCTCAAAGAGTGATGTCTATAGCTTTGGTGTTGTTCTCTTGGAGCTCTTAACAGGGCGCAAACCTGTAGACCATACTTTACCTCGTGGACAACAGAGTCTTGTGACATGGGTAATGTTTTGATTTCTTTATCCCTTATTATTGTTATGGGTTTTCTTGTTATCTCACTCCTAGTCTTTTCTTCTTCCAGGCAACTCCAAAACTTAGCGAAGATAAGGTAAAGCAATGTGTTGATCCAAGACTAGGTTCAGATTATCCTCCCAAGGCTATTGCAAAGGTAATGTATTGTACTTCACTTATCATATGACCCTTGACAAAAATCAAAACCTAGCTTACTATTGTTTGACTCCTAAAAATATGAGCTAAACTTGAAATCTCTCTTGCTCACTGTTGTTGAACCCAGATGGCCGCTGTTGCTGCTCTCTGTGTGCAGTATGAATCCGATTTTCGTCCAAACATGAGCATAGTTGTCAAAGCTCTTCAACCTTTGTTAAGGGCCAATGAAGCTTCACATGCATAAAATCCCCGCTTGCCAAGGAAATGAGAAATTTGTATAAGTATATTACATTGATTTCTTTCATATGTGATTCAACAATAGTGAGATGTATTCTGTTAAAATTGATTCTTGTAAACTGCTGTAACCTGTAAGTCTGTAATGCATAGAATATTGTTCCTATAACATAAAAATCTTCCACCTTTAGGCAGTGTTTTCTCATGTTATGTTTGTTGAAGGGGGTCATTTTTCTTCTTAACCATTCCTTTTTTTTTTCCCTCTTTTTGCAAAGCAAATGTCTATGATCCTTTTGAAAAATAGCTTTTGATCTGTAAAAAAATTTATGATTAAACGATTGTGACTTGAAAGAACTCACACTACCCAAAATACATCAAAATCATCAAATAAAAACTAGTACAATTGATCTATCAAATAAAGCAGACATGTTATTAAAAATCAGAGGCAAGATAAAACAAACCCCACTGGCCAGTGGCCACTACCCAAAATGAGTTGAATCCTTCAAATTTTGACAGAACGAAGCCTTCCCATTTCAAAGTTGGGATTATGATGCACTCAAATGTTCCTTTTATGCCTTTGTGGATTTTGACATTTGCCAAACTAAGGAACCTTTTTTTGTTTGGGCAAATTCTAGTTTTTGTGGACTGGTTATGCTTATGCTACTGTTTTTTTAGGCGCAATTATTTTTTTATTTTTTATTTTTTTTTTATTTATTTTTTTACCTATCATCAATCCACATTTACAATGGATACATATTCAACATACATACCTTATATGCTAGTAAAAATTTAAATTCTTATTCATTTCGCAACCCCTATATATATCCAAATTAACTTAAGCAAATTTGGTTGAATTGGTGGGTTAATCATCTTGTTTTTTTAGGTCACAAATTTGAGTATTTACCTTTCCCCCTAAAATCAAGCATTAACGTTGTGTAGTTGAGTTGAATATTACCCATCTATACCTCTATATAAATATGGCACTGGGCCAGGCCGACCCAAAGCCCTGCACAAAAAAAAAAAAAAAAAGCACAGCACAGTACTGTGCGTGTGGGCTGTGGGCCACCTTTATTTGGGAGAAGCACGATAAGGTACGGTTGGGCACGGTATGACAAAACATGCTAAAATAAATGCAACTTTGCTTAAGTACGCAAGCTCGGCACGGCACGGCTTGACATGATGGCATGTGGGCCTCAGCTGTGCACGGGCCAACCTTTTTAAAAACTTTGGCCCGAGACAACACAATAAGAAACTTGTGGGCCGATCCATGGGATGGGCCTCACACTAAAGCATGTGGGCCTGGCACGAGGTACGGCCCAGAGCCATCTTTACCTTTATACCCTCTTGGGAGTTGGAGTGCTATTACTATTATGGAGTATTATTGTGTAAAAAAAAAAAAATTACTTCCTCAGTTTTATATTAATTGTTACAATTTATTGTAATCATGCGTGTTAATGCATCAAATCAATGACTAGTAATTTAAATTATCAATGAAAAAAAGCTAATAAAATTAAACAAAACCTCACTTAACCCTTTTTTTTAATAATAATAATAATATTTTTATTAGGGTAGGCTATGATATAGCTAGAGGAGTGGGGCCCAGATTGTATCTCGGCTTCCCACTAATAATAATAATAATAATAATAATAATAATAATAATAATAATAATAATAATAATAATACTTCGTAAAAGATAGTTTTGCATACAAGGTGGTGAGCATCCGAGTAGTGGACAACCGGTTGTATGCAAAAATGGGGCGGGTAGACATCACATATAATCTCAAATCACACTTAATATACCTTATAACACCCATACCTACCTATTGCCACTAAAAATCATACCCATACTCACTCCAACAACTAGTGTTAGTGCGATACAAAATCCAAGCAAGATTTCTAAATGTCATATTCTCATAAATCTCATTAGAATTTTATACAAGGGAAAACAGCTTCTCAACAACAGAAAAATACATTCTAATTGAACTCTTTCTTTACTCACCTAACGATCAACTTTGATTGTTCTGTTCTACCGATTTTTTTTTAAAAAAGAAATGATTGAAAATAGAAAGGAAAAAAAAAACACATGCTAGTTGATGTTCAAATACACCTCATCTAAATATTAACAATCCCATATCTTCTCTATATTATCTCCATCAAATATTCTCTCAAGTATATCAACAACTCCTCTAGCCTAAAAAGGCCTGTACAAAACAGTTCTGATTGCTTAGGCATAAAAGAAAATGCCCAAGACTACTTATACAAACCATATCTACTACAATACATAGTACTCATCGCACCAAAAATAATGAAAAAAGTACTTTGTAAAGCCCACAAAAAAGGAAAAAAAAAAAAAAAAAAAAAAAGAAGGGGGAACGAAGGGGGTGGCCGAAGGCCAATATTACTATATATATACGCGGATTCAACTTTTAACACTCAATCTCAGCACAGATCACACACATACTTCGTTTGAAGCATGCGGTTTCATCTGTTAACTATTGGCTTCTCACATGTTGAGAATGTTTTTTGTCCACTTAGGCTTACTGATTTTTAGATTGCGTTCAAACTAAGCCTTGGAGATTCAGCCTCTCCGGGTTGAGCTCGTCGATGCCTCCGATCCTGCAAATCCAAAAAATATGCCTTTTTAGTTTTACTGCCTTTGTACCGGAAATGATTCTATTTTATTTTTAGTTTCTTATACACAAGGATTGGAACAAGCAAAATGATCTCATTTTAGTATGCTAGTTTCAGAAAATTAAAATACTATCCATGTTTAAGTAGGGTCAATGGGAATAATTATGAGAAATCTGTGTATAAATGTAATGACTTTGAATTAATGAAAATGTTCAAATTATAATGATTATGATTCCATCTTATGCAATCAGTAAGGGTCTGGGGTTTAAGGAACCATAAATCAAAAAAGAAAAAAAATCTAATTTCTCATCTCTCTCAATTAAGCAACATGTGTTTGATGCATAAGACAGGGTACACCTAGTTCACAGCTAGTAAAACCTTGAAATCTTGACGCTGAACATTTTGACGTTTCTAAAAATAAAAGGGCCAATTTAATCTATGTATAAGGCTAGTTTAAGGATAATATACCTCACGAGGAACAGGATATTCCTCTGATTCAAGCATTCGAGCAACTTGACCCATTCTTGGCCGCTTTTCAGAATCTGGATCTACACACCGCAATGCAGTCAAAAGTGCTCTCTTAAGAGCCCTCGTTGAAGGTCTAGTGTCCATGTTGGGATCTACTACCTCTTCTGCACGCCTGTTACCTACCATAGTTTTAAGCCAGTCCACCAGGTTTACCTACAGCCACACAAGAATGATTTACAATTGCTATCAGATTTTACTAATGTTGAGTTCTTGCTCTAATATTAACCAGTGATAATGCTGATTCAGACCAAAAAGTCTAATTTAAGAAATAAATAAATAAAAAGCAATGGCTTCAGTGTAGTTTAATATAGTGTAAACTTGTTAAAGTTGCATGATTCTAGAGCACAATCACGATCAATTATTCTCCCTCAAATTTGAATTAAACAACATTTAAGTGTCTTGTTTTTGAGCTTTTCATATAGTTTCTAGCAGAATTTCGATAGGCTTTACCTCATTCTGGGGACGAGCGTAATCTACTGGGTCCCTCCCAGTAATAGATTCCAAGAGAACAACCCCAAAACTGTAGACATCACTTTTCTCGTTTAGAAGGCCACTATTGGCATATTCTGGAGCCACATACCTGCAAGATGGCAAAAAAGCAAGATACAATACGATTATTCACTGAGTATATACTATATACTTCGCTTTTTATTTATTTCATAATCTTTTATTTCAGTAGTGAAATGGTTTTATGGTAATTATAGACATGACGAACTTTGGGCGCAATTAGAGAGCAGAGGATCAGCTAGGAGTGAAAAAAAAAAAAAAAAACTAACCCAAATGTGCCCATGACTCTAGTAGCGATGTGAGTTTTTCCAGCACCCAACAGCTTTGCCAAGCCAAAATCAGACACCTTTGCATTGAACTCATCATCTATAAGTATGTTACTTGATTTGATATCTCGGTGCACAACCTTAGGCTCAATGGCTTCATGCAAGTAAGCAAGGCTGTAATGAATATTTGTATTAGTAATTTCAAATACATGAACTTTGCACTTTATAATGACTTGAAGTTCTCATTTATAAACAACTTACGCCTTAGCAGTGCCAATAAGAACCTTCATACGAGCTTCCCAAGTAAGATTTCCATATTGGCGCATTGCACCATGAAGCCATTGTTCTAAATTTCCATTATTGACATACTCATAAACCAATAACCTACATAAAATTTTCATTTTGTATTAGTCAGCACATCTAAGACATGTCTTGTCTACAATGAACTCAACCAATTAACGTAGAAAAAAGAATCTAAACACTATTTTAATTCAGGTACGCAATTGGGATATCTTGCTACTGGAATAACATTATTTCAAAAATAAGGCATACAATGGAGTTTTAATTAAGCATTTTGACCATATACATCTCTCAAAATCATTTATGAATGAAGGTTTTACTTTCAAATCTACAGCAAAAGCAAAAGTATTTACCTGTGAGTTCCTTCAATGCAGTATCCAAGAAGTCGAACTAAGTTTTTATGTCGAACATGACCAATAGCCTCCACTTCTACCCTGAATTCTTTCTCTGCCTGTCCACTGCAATTCAATGATCAAAATTATTACATAATCATCTTGCAGTCCATGATATCATAGAATCAAATCTGACATAAACTCAACAAGTAATGAACACCAAAGTAAGCTGTTTTTTTCACCTACAGGTTGTTAAGAAGCCTCTTTATTGCAACCGGGGTCCCATTAATAAGCTCACCCTGGTAAACAATGCCATATCCTCCCTCACCAATGACATTCTGTTTGGAAAAGCGGTCTGTTGCAACTTCAAGGTCTCTTAGAGTAAACCAGTGACCCCAACCCAGACGAGATATTTCAGGAAGTCCAGATAGTGGAGAAGGAGCACTTATCGGATGTGAAGAAGGCTTATCCCCCATTGGAGACCCAACACTATCATTTTCGAAGCGTGTAAAAGAGCCTGAATGCTTTCCATTCTCTTCTGTTTTGATTTTATCAACACTTGGATGAACTAAAAGCCTGTCTGAATCCTTTTCTTTCAATTTTTCTACAACACCATCGGGATAACTTCCATACACATTTTGGGAAACATGGTCCACTCTAATTTCACGAATTTCCTTA